TGGGTGAATAGCATATTTCTTCGCGAAATATGTTTTTCTATAATAACTCGGAAACAAATTTTCGAGCTTAAAAATTATTGCTCGTCAACTGCTTTATCGACCTCTTTGTAATATATTTTCTTATTAACTTATAGATTTTTTTAAGATATTAAAAGATTGTACTGCACGTTAACTCTATTATGGGAAACTAATTACTTATCAGCGTATTAATAAATAGATTTTTCTCGCAGATTTTTTATCAATCAATATCAGGTGGGTTTTGACGTTGAAAGTGTAAATTCTTTGATAAAATTCTTGGCTAGAAGAAATAATTAAAATATTTTGAACCTTGAGTGATAATTAGGCATCAATTAATTATTGTTTACTGATTCGTTGCGTATTTCTTCTTGTTTAGAAAATACTCAATTTTCAACAGCAATCAACTATTAAATTATTAAAAATAAAATTATCTGTACACTAATTATAGTAGCCAGCTAGCTAACAATAAGTAAAATTTTATCTAAAGAGATTTTTTTACTCAGTCATTAAACAGTAAATTACTAAGTGAATTCAAAAACAAGCTCCAATATCTGTTGACCAGTTTTTAACTTGTAATCAGTTTTTTCCTAAACATTTTTCTATTCAGCTGATTATTGGTCATTCAAACATAACAAAACAATTACGTTATTAGCTCCCCAATCTTTAAAATTTTTGTCTACATTTTTGTCTTATTTTTGCGCAAGAATCTAATCATTGTTTTCTCAGTTGTATTACAATTTCAGCCGCATTTTATGCTTTTTATATATAGTGTATAAAAAAGGTAAAGATAAAAATAAATAAAGTCTCTTGATCTGATTTAGCATAGTATTCACTTAATTTGTATGTTGAATAAAAGAAGGATCATATGTAGTATATTGTCAAAGATTCAAGAAGATACATTCGTATTGTTGTACTAGTATAGACATATGACTGATTATATGAGCATGTGTAACATGCTGCATCACGAATATATAGCATGTTAAGATAACGCATTGTGAGATATACTTGTAAAATGAGAGAGAGGAAGGGGAAGACATTTTAAATATTTGTTCTAATAACAGGAAAAGATTATCAAGCAGACGATGTAATTATATTATTTCGCTGACGAAGAACATAGTATTTGCTTGATGATTTTATATGTATGTATACATATATGTTTTTAAGAAAATTCGAAATCGCGCATTTATTATAAATTAGAATCAAATTAAGGAAGAAAAAAATTATATACATTATTTATTTTGTTCGCATAATATTTTTTATTGTCGTTCTTGCCGGATAGTTCGAATTTTTGTAATACACTTTATAGGTTTAAAATTGTACGATATATCTCGGCCCTTATTCCTACATAAATGAGACTCTCTGTTCCCCTCGAATCATGTGAGTGTTTTATCTCATCGTATGTGTCTTTTTTTTCATTCTCTCCCATCACCTCGGTGGGGTCTCGAGTTCATATTCGTATAACTAGTTAATTCCGGCTTCTCTTGTCCTCTCCGCTCACAATCAGCTCTGACTCTTATCATTGACAAGACAAGACAAGACTACCCTCATTTAGTAAGATGTTTGCGTATTTTTTTGTTGGTCGCAGCTAAACACCGATACTGACAATTTTCATCGCAGTTAGACAACGCGTGAAGCAAATTTAATTTGCGACTCTGCACGATATGTAATATCTAATCATGTATGTATATATATATATACTTTTTATCTCTATAATTTGAATTTTCAAATGTCGAAAAATGTTTACAAGATATTCTGTAACGATATCGCAGCAATTAATTATAAAAACGTAAGCAATCGCGTAAACAAAACTTTTTCGAAATCTATAAACGATCAATCGTCTTCTCATCGTTTTACTCATCAAAGTAGATAAGATAAGATTATAGAAAAATGAATATGCTTCGTAAAATATTTAATATAATATAATTCATGTTAAAATTCAATCAACACTACAGAATAAAATATAAATGTTTTGTAAGATGTTTATAAGATATCTAATGATTTTAATATTTCTATGTAGTCGAGTTAACATATTGAACTATATTTATACATTGATTATAATGATCAATAATATTAATAAGGTATATATGTATTATTTATTGTTAAGAATATATATATATTTCACATTTCATATTTTCCATGCAGTTCAAATGTGATTCGTTATTTTACAGTAACATTAATAATATACAGTTTTCCAAGATGCAATAGTAACATCAATCATTCATGGGAGCTTCTCAGAGTTAAGACGATGCTTGGGAAATAAGCTAATATGTTTTATAAGGTGCAAAACTTAATAACTATATCAGTCTTCTGCCATGATCGTTGAGAAAGAAGGAAGCAGGATTCTTGAACAGGATGAGGAACATGTCCCTCGAGGAACGTCCGGAAATTGCAAGTGATCGAGGTAAGAAACCGCAAATACGATAGATTCGTAGCAAGAAGTACAGACAAAACATTTTACGATACTTAGCCAAGTTCTTTTAAGAGAAAAATAAAAAAAAGATTATATATATATATATATACAATCACTATTTTATATCTAGTAACAAAAAATAATAACTACGTAAAAGATTTTGAGTCGTCATTAGACGTAAACTATCATTTCTGATTCATTTGACCTAATTAGTTGCTGTCTACATTTTCTTATCAAAAATTTTTTTAATAAAGCTTTTCATTACAAAATAGAATTATCTATATAATTAGTGGCTAGCTATTTAAAGCCATCTTTTATTTTTTATTTGCAAATTATTTCTTCAATTATTCTCTTTTTTGTTCTCTCTCTCTCTCTCTCTCATATTCTATGAATAAATACGTATATAAAGTGCTAAAAAACATGAGATCTTTTGAATTTAAAAGTTTAAGTATCACTTCTTAAATATGTAGAATAATAATATCGCAAAATGCTTCTTTCTTCTTTGAAATATAACAAAAATAACTGGCGAATCGAGATGCAAGACATTAATTTATTGAAGATATATATATATATATAATTGTAACAAAACTAGATCGATCGTCGTTCGATCCAGTTAAAGCAGGCAGATCGCCTCTTCATGTACATATGGTTGGATAACGATATGCTATTATTTTTAGAGAAATCGAAAGCTGATATTGCATCGAGAAATTAGGTATAAAAGTACGTAAGTAATGTTTTCGAGTCGAACCACACACGACTCATTGTCATATCGTAAATTGACAAACCGCTCTTCGACAAAGTTATTTTCCACGCTGATAAGATAATTCGGTCCGCTGGGGGTACCAGAAGAGTCAGATGATTTCTCGCCATTTAGTGACGCTCGTTTATTATCGTTGTTCGCAGTTACGTAGTCTCTCGCACTTCATATTTTGCTCGCGATACGGACGAAAACAATATACGTATCTCACATTTCACAACAATTGATATTTTTGTTTTATTACTTTATACGAGGCGCGTAGTTGTTAAATCTAAAAAGAATCTATTGTATTTCTAAAAATGAAAAAATGTTTAAATTACATTCAACTTGCATATAAAATATTGCTCGTTTGAATCTTGATGTCACTTATTAAAGATCCATATTTTGAGATTGAATAATTATATATACATGTCACAAAATAAGCGGGGGGTCCGCACTTTCATCGTGTGGCAATCGCGTTATCAGTCGTCGAAGCGAAATAGCAAGAATCGAGTTGTTTGCACGAGAAGAAAAAGAAGAAAAAAGAGAGAGAGAGAGAGATTGAATGAGAAAAAGAGACAGAAAAAGCACGTGATGATTGCACCAACGCGAAATCACGAGATATCTCGCTGTAATATGATTATTTATTGCTGAATCGGACCCCCAACAGCAATTGCATCATTGCACGCTCCGATGATCTCCGACACATGACTTTTACGCGATGATGATTTTATTTTTTTTTTATTTACGCGAATTTTTTTCATGTGTATATATATAATTAAGTTATAATTCTATTAATGACTGATAAAGGTTCTGATAATGAAAAGGTGGTAGATTTGAAAAGGACAATTTTGAAATTTTCTAATTTGTATGCACTAAAAGTATATAATATTCAAATTGATTAAATATAACATTGTATGATTTGTTGGTAGCATACATTAACTAATAATATATGAATAATGATAAAAAATTTTAACAAGTTTCTAAGTTACAGCTTACATATTATATAAAAGGTATCTCATATAAGTTCAAGTAAAAATTAAATATAAATTAAAATAATAGTTACCGAATCGAGAGAGATATAAAATAGTGACACATGAAATTATATTTTTTTGTACATCTTATAATGTATATATTTATATTATATTTATTTATATATCAATTGCATATGCATAGTGCGTAGTTTATTGCTATTAAGTGTGTGGTGCGTAGTTAACCACTATTAAATTATCAGTTTTGTAATAAAATATGCAGCCTAAAAAAGCAACATTGACAGAAATAAAATTAAAGTTGCTAATGCTGCGATTATCGGCGCTAGCATATCATTAATTTTTACAGTATAGGAAGAGGACATTGCTAGTCAATAAAAATTATGCACGAGACGTACATTTTTGTATTATACATACCTATGTGTATGTATGTATAAATTTGTGTGTATGCATATGTATTATCTATGTATACATTAAGTATACGTTGTACAGAGTGGAATGAATCCTGTATAAATTGATTATCTCGAATAAGTTGTTATGAAAATGTCATTTTTCTACAGTTTTATTTCAGTTTATCAGAGTTATCTTACTGATAATTATTAAAAATGGAGAGTTCATGGGTAAATGCAAGGTTAATAGAGGAAATTACGAACATTATAATAATTATGTAGGCACGTTCGTCCTGAAAATGCCTATCGAAGCAAGACATTCGTGACACCGAATATGTACATTGAGCAGTTTTTGTCAGCGAGCGGACGAGAGCCGGGAAGAGAGACAACCGAAGCTGTCTATCAACAATTTACTCGCGCACTTATCTGTCACAGAGTGGGGACTCTGCTATAAGAAGATAAATCACCGTAGAACGAGTCAGTTTACGGTTAGCCTACCTCGTACACCAGTCACAAATTTATTCTCGCGTTTCCAAAACTACAGTTTCTCGCGAATTTGCCACGCAAAAAGAGAGGTAGGTAGGTCCTGCATTTCAATTCAAATCCTCGAATATCTCCGCACCAAGACGGAACCGCTTTTTAGCTTGGAAAACTGTTTTCAAATCTGACACTTGTTGCTCCAGCCTCGGTTAATTTAATAATTCCTGCATATTTTCCACGTATATTTTATTGCGCACATCGAACAGCACATTGTGCAACGTTGAATTTTCAGAGGGTGCGAAAGATCTCGTAATAGCAATGTGATATGTATTTGGAAATAACATGGAAGAATATCATTTTCTCCAAGTCTTTGAATACCTTTTAAAACTGCCTTTTGAATTTGTCAGAATCTTTATTAGAATCTACTGTCAAATGCAATTTTATTTTACGATAGAACTGTATTAAGGAAACAAAAAGATAGCATCTTTATGATCTTTCGTGATCTTTTTGATCTACCGTGAAAAGCATCGTAATGAGGCAATAAAATCTTTGAAAATGACTGAACAATTTTCAGTGTTACACGTGCATACAAATACATATTTATATGCAAATACTTAATAGAAAATTTGAATAGAATACATTAATTGGAAAAAATTTCTGTAGTCACGTTTTGATTAAGCTAAAAAAAGATGTACATCAAGACTTATATAATTTTTACTGACTAGCAACGTTCTCTTATTACAGCAAATATAATATATACTAGCTTTTATAATCGCAATATTAACAATTTTTATTATTTCTGTCAGTGTTGCATTATTCTCTATATTCTATATTAAGCTCTATATTTTATTACGAAATTATATCGACTATTTTATAGCGATCAATTATACGATTTGATCGTGCTTTAGTACATTTTTACAAGTCATGTCGTTTTATTATTGTATTTAATAACATCTCTAGCTATAAGTGACTGAATATGAACGTTAATTAAACATAAACACTATTCAAGGACTCACTTTTTTGTTCAAGGATAACATGTCGGTCAGCTTCAGGAAGGTCTTGATAAGTGATCCCGTGGATGCATCGTGTGGGGCTTTATTGATCGAACACGGAGTTCCGGTCACAACTAAACATAAGCTATCGAAGGAGGAACTCATCAACGAGCTTCAGGTACGTAGATTAATGTGTCAAAAATTAAGAAAATGCTAAATCCATATATAATATTTACATTAATACTGTGGAAAGACCAATCTTTTAAAAACTACTGTAAAGCTGTTTGTTATAGTTAGCTGTTTATTATAGCAGTTATCATGAAGTATATCGATAATTTCAAGATCACATTATACATTATATAGATAATGACATTTTAATTACGAAGATTGTTTAATTTTTCTCTCTTGTAAGACTATCAATAATTGCAATTATAAATTGTTATCGACTCATCTATCAAACTAGAAATACTAGGGATCAGATCAAGAAATTGAATATTCGATAAAATTACGTTACGTGGAATTCACGTGTAAGAGATAAACTCAAATTATAATAATGAACCACTATTAACAAACTGCACAGAAAAAATTTAGTCACAATTATAAAAAAGAGTTTTACATAAAAATATTTTTTACATGTGAATTATCTTTTTAAACCCTATTTTTTATGATTCACTAGATATTTAAACATTTTTTTTATGGAAAACGCAAAAAAATTTTTTTACTTGAACAATTTTTGATATAATCTAATTAAAATTAAAACGTGTTTTATTATATAGATAGATTATTTTTTGTTTAACTCACTAAACCGATTTAACCAATTAAATACATATATTTCATCCCATATGTGTTACGTAAAGGTCTCAATAAGCCAATTAGGTTTACATAGAACGAGTAAGAGAGAATTTTATTTGTTTCAAACAAAATGCTATCTCTCTGTGTTCTCTCTAAAAAAATCGGTTTAGTACATCAAAGGAAAAGAAAAAGCTTGTCTAACTAACAATTATCTTTACTACACAAATATAAAATGAAATTAACGAATTATTTTACTGCTTTATTTTAAATAATTGTGTAGAAATAAAAGATGCCATATGTATTGGGAATTATGACATTTCAAGTACGTAAATAATAATTTATTTATTGTTTGTGCGAATACATCCACATTTCAAATATACATACGAGATAATATATAATTTTAATTTTATCAAATGTTTTGCACGCGGTAAAGCGAAAAGAAAATTCAATTAAAATTATTCCTTTTGCTTGCATATTTTTATTATTACAAACTGCAAGAAAAGTTGTCTATCAGTAAGTTAAACAACGAAGTAAAATCAGTTCTAAGAATTCATTTGCAATTATAATGTCGTATATTGACATAATAATGTAAAAAAAGCATAAATCCACAATTGTAAAATTCGAGGTAAAATTGTTATAACTTTATATAAACAGTTTATAAATTATTATTATGGATAGTCTATTTGAAGTAAAAGTATACGTGCTTCTAATCGGGCATATCTCTAGACACCAAAATGTTCCAATCTGTCTTAAGGCGAGACAGTCTGGATTTAATGCATGTTATAAAGTAATATATACTTATGCAGGGGCTGCATGTCGGACGTGCGTCTCTATCGTTCCTCCGATTTCTCTCCGTCTCCGTTTATTCTTTCTCGTCTTAATTGCTCGCATTCGAGTCGGCGATCCGGTTAAATCCAGTTGAGTCGGCCGGCACGAATACCGGTTAACTCTGCAACGGGTCGTTGTACCACCACCGGTTTGCGTCGCATGTCCGCACACATAGGCGCCCATACAAGGAGATTTGTTCTATCCTCCATTCGCATTTCTCGATAGATCTATCGGCTTTAGTCTAGTTGCGCACCCTCCTCTTGAGAATACTCCAAAAATTTAATTGTCACACTCGCAGTCGCGAGTTTCCCGTAAGTTTCACGGAAATTTCGACAATTTTCAATCAAAGCAAGTGGAAATTTGAAGAGCTTTACTCATTGTCAGATATTTCTCAGATACATGTAAATAAAAAAATTAAGATAAAAATGGTTCTTGAAAAGAAAAAAAACTGAAAATTCTCTTCACTAGATCTAATTTCACTTATTATACAAGTATGTATATAGTTAAAGAGAGAAGAGAATTTAATATAGATTATAGATAATCTAAAATTCATGTAGAAATTTAATTCATAAAAATATCTAAATTTTTAATTATCGAACGTTAAAATTAGCAAAACTTTTCTTATTCCTTTCTTTTACTTTTACGAATTCGAAATCTCCAAATAAATTTCTTGCACAAGAAAAAAATATTAAACTTGAAATAAACAAAGATCAAGGAAAAGATTATTTCTCCGTTTGTTAATTGGCACATTATAAACTAATATATTTAGAGATATCTATTTGTGTTATAAATATTAGTAGATAAAATATTTTTAAACATATCATATGTTATATAAAGTTGTTTTGCTTTCCCACATTCCATTTTATATAATTCACGAGTTTGTTACAATGTTGTATCGCAATTCGAAGAGAAAATAATTGCGATAGACGCCCATGCAACCATTCGTTATCTCTTATGCGGATAATTATAATGAAACCTAAATTGATTAGACGTTGGATATATCATATATTTCTCGACTTGCGTAAATTCAATAACCAGTTTGCATAAATTGCAACAATGGTTTTGCTAAGCAATGAGAAGAAAATAAATCGAATTATATATAAATAAATTATATAAAAAATATATTAATTTAATTTTTCTTTCTGACTTCTCAAAGACAAATATGTGTTTTAATATGTATATATAATACAATCTTTTAATTTAAATATAATTGTGTATATAAAAATATATTTTTTTATATCTTTTACTATTTGAGATAATTAAAAATCTATTTATATAATATATGTTTTCTCTTTCTGTCAAACAGAATCACGATGCCCTTATCGTTCGATCCGAGACCAAAGTTACGGCGGATGTGTTTGCAGCTTGTCCAAATCTTCGTGTTGTAGGACGAGCTGGTACTGGTGTCGACAACATAGATCTTCAAGCTGCCACAAGGAAAGGAGTAGTTGTATTAAAGTATGTACACAATTTCCTATTTTTCTATTTTGTTTACAATATAAAAAGATGAGAAAATAAAGATGAACAGAATAATTCTAAATTATGAAGCAAATAGTAATATATAATACATATTTTTCTTTATAGTATTCAGTTATATACTTCAATTAAATTATATTCTTTAAATCTCACGCAATACGAAAGATATTTAGAACAAGTGATTAAAATATAATAATTAATAATATGATTCCGCCTATAAATGGCAGCTGCATTATAATTAGCACATAATTACATGATTTGTTTTGACAATTGCAGCACCCCTGGCGGCAACAGCATCAGCGCTTGCGAGCTAACTTGCGCTCTAATTTCCTCGCTTGCGCGTAATGTCGCACAAGCCGCGCAATCGCTGAAGGAAGGTCGATGGGACCGGAAACTCTACTCCGGATACGAGTTATCCGGCAAGACTTTAGCAATTCTCGGAATGGGTCGCATAGGTCGCGAGGTAGCCTTTAGAATGCAAAGCTTCGGGATGAACATTGTTGCGTTCGATCCGATTGTGAAGCCCGAGGTCGCCGCTGAGCTTGGTATTAAATTACTCCAATTGGAGGAGATATGGCCCGTAGCTGATTACATTACAGTTCACACGCCGCTTATACCTGAAACGAGAAGTACGAATATATATATGATGCGAAATTATTATTAATTATGAGTTCGTAAAAAGCTTACCGAAAATTAAGATACACAAATATCTTGAATTTTTACTAATCAATATAAATAATATTTAATATCTGTTTTAAAAGATATGATAAGTAATTGCATTAAATAAAACTTAAAATAGAGCTTGATTCAAAAGCGTATAAGCAACAAATCTTACATTAATTTAATAATACGAATAATTATTAACAATTTAACAATTACTAATTAATTTGTCGGTTTTTTATATATAGATTTGATCAACGCGACAAGCTTGGCGAAATGTAAGAAAGGCGTATACATCGTTAACGTCGCACGTGGTGGCATCGTTGATGAAGAGGCTCTTTTGAATTCATTAAAGATCGGACACTGCGGCGGAGCAGCTTTGGATGTCTTCGTGGAGGAACCACCGAAGAATCCAATTACCTTGGAACTCATTAAACATCCCAAAGTCGTCCCGACACCTCATCTTGGTACTTTATTTCACTTATGTCGCACGAATCAACTGTTTAAACTATACTTAATTTTTCTTTATATTTCGTTGTTTTAATGAAATTTGATAAAATTGACATTTGGCGCTTTTTTATATGCTTATTATTCTAGAAATAATAAGAATAATAATTATTTTAGGTGCCAGTACGGCCGAGGCCCAGCAACGAGTCGCGGTGGAAATTGCCCAACAGTTCTTGAGTCTGTCCGGCAAATCAACGGAATATGCCGTCACCGGTATCGTAAATGCTCCAGTCTTATCTGCGGCTATGACGAGCGAGAATGAACCTTGGATAGAATTGTCAAAGAAATTGGGTCAATTGGTCGGTCGCTTCCTCAAGAGCAAAGTAAACACGACCATTCACAGTCAGACTGTTGGGAGTGGTATGGAAGACAAACAATTCATACACACAGCTGTTCTGGTCGGTATATTGACCGGTCAAACGAAAAATGGCCTAAATTTAATTAATGCACCTATTCTGGCACAAGATATCGGCATGAGATTGCAAAAGAGCCACGTCGAGGATGATAACAAAGCAGTTGTCGTGAAAGTTGGCGAGCATGTCATCAAAGGTAATATTATAATATTTTAAAAAATTGCAAAAGATTTCACAGAAACGAAACATTTTCAGAATTTTGACAGGATTAGAAACTAATTGAATTGATATAATTGATAGATTTGTGATTTTCAAGTATGAAAATTATATAGAAAATTTTGCATTTTTATTATACATTTTCATTATATAATTACTAATCATGTTTTCATTTCAATTAAGATTGATTTGTCAGAAATATCTCTCGATTCAAGCTCTTTTAAAGCATTTTTTAAAAATTGAAGAAATGTCAGATTTACAAAAGAATTTTACTCGTGGAAATTTAAAAATTTCCACCCGAAAAAAATATGCATCGCTAAAATTTGTTTTTATTTCACAAATGTTAAAAATAAATTCTTGGCAAGTTGCAAAATTCTAGTGAAAATTGTTCAAGTTTTCATGGATTATAAATTTCATTCATTGCGTTATGTATTATACTATTATCTATAAAATTAAAGTCGCAAATAAAGTTTGCATATTGTATTTACAACTAAATATTACATTACTGATATGTTATTGTTTGTCATATTACACAGGAACCGTACGTGACAATCAATCACTGTTGCTCGCTCTGGATGATGCTGTCTTCGCGAATGGCATCGCATTCGGAGATCATATTTGCTTATATCATGCAAATAGAGTGCAAGATCTCGCCAACATCGTAAATGTCTTCTCGTCAAAGAGTATCAACATCCACAACTTGAATGCCAACGGCAGCTGGGTGATTATTCAAACTGATCGGGAGATTTCGATAAAAGTAGACGAGATTGAAAGCTTTTAAACTGCCAGCTTTACAGAGAAATGTATATACAAATAAGCGAACCTTAAAAAGAGAGGAATGTTGAAGCTCGAATTTTGAAAAATCTAGTATTGTCCGATTCCTATAAGTGCGTGGAAAGTTTTTATGCTATTCTTGAAAAATATGTAGTTTTTTAATCATATAAAAATCATGGAGTCATTATTTATATATTATTTGATCAAAACAGATGATTAAGAAAAATAAGAAAAAGAGAAAAAGTAAGAAATAATATTGATAATGTACACATACCATAATTTTTTTCGCGAAAAAGATTATAAGATAGACGAAATATTTTCATTAACGCACAGCGCAATGTATTAAATAAAGGCGCATTTTTTATACACACATGCGTAGAAATGTAAAAAAAGAAGTATAGAATATGTATCTGTATAAATATTTATATATATTTTTTAATAGGGAATTTTTATTAATAAAACATCACATTATATATCAAATCATCACTTCTGTTCTATGTATTATTAGCACTAGAAGGGTCTGCAATATAAATGGTCTGTAGTATAAAAGTGATAACTTGGAGAATAAGTTCTCTAATTGTAGAAAGAGACAAATTTAACTCATATTCTCTAATATTTATTCCCAAATTTATAAAAAATATATTTGTAGATTAAAAGAGAAAGTCTTTCAAAAACTAGTGTAGTATATTCATAAAAATGGCTGATTCTTCTTTGTTGGGACCCTTCCAATGTCTAAATATATAATATTATAAACTAGTACAGTTATAATATTATGTCAGACTAAAACTAATCGTATATTTTTATTATATTAGTTTACATAATTTACAAACGCGCTTTTACCATTAATTTATATATATATATATATATATATATATATATATATATATATATTCTTTGAAACACACATTCAAAAAGATTGAAAAATTCTTTGATGTGTAATTATATCTTCTTGCAATTAAATGTTCCTTGTACAGTTTGCAGTAGTAATTACATGAAATTAATTTTGCATCAAATTAAATTAAAATAATTAAGGATTTAAATAACATTGGCATGTAATATAACAATAGCTTATAATATCACATTATTGGGTATATATATATATACACTTTTAACATATCTTATTGTAGTATATTTTTGTGCTATAACAGAGATATATGTAAATAAAACTAAAAAATAATAATTGAGTGCAAGTAATTCTCCAAATTAATGTACAAGGTAAAGTGCCAAACTATTGCACATATGAACAACAAAATAAATATACAAAAATATAATAATGTGGAATATGGTTAAAAATATTTCAAGTACAAATATGCTACTCCTAATATGATACTGAATTGCAAAATCGCACACACTTAATAAATATTAAACAGGATTTGTTTCACAAAAATAATCTTATATTCTTTCATAACTATCTGCTCGACAACAATTAAAGGTGAAGACAATGCCATCCTGTAAAAAAATTACAAAAGGGTAATCATCTTGATTACAGAATAATAATAATAACAGTAATGATTAATTTGTTAGAAATATATATATATATGTGTGTCACTTACTCTGACTAGCGAAGGAAGCTTGGTCCAAAAAGCATGATTTGGCAACATTTCCCAACCTGTCGCTCCCCTCAATATTCTCAATGTTATCATACCACCAATAAAATATACTCCAGCACCAGTAAAGAAAAGGATAAGTAATACTGAACCAGTGGATAATCCTTTGTTGTGTGATTCAATTTTACATCCATATGGTGATATCAGCATAAAATTCTATAAACATTATTAAATGTGATTTACAAACTTTTATAATCATTAAATAATGTTTTATGGTTACTTTTATGCTTACATATTTATTTGTGGAAGGAATTATAGATTCTATTTTTAATTTTGTTTCGCTACCGGTAAAGCAAACAATATTTATCACTGTTGTAATGTTATCATGATGTATTTCAAAAAATGGAGTTTTATAGTCACTCGAGAATTTCATTTGTGTTTCCTTTATCGTTCCAAGACTTTGTGTTTTATTTGTATTCATATCAAGCATGCACACCTAGAAGAATATAATACTTAATACTTTCTATTCAATCCACTTTTCTATCAAAAACGAATTAATCATGTTTCAATCAGTAAAGAGATTATTATCATTAATGCTTTACTATTCATTAAGGTCATTCAACAAAAGAAGCAAAAAATTATGTGAGTTTCTTGTTATACATTGACATGTAATTAATTTTCTTATACATATATTGATATAAAATAAATATCATAAACTTTTTCTTATTATTTCGCATTAATACTTATACATGTAAAATTTAATCTGCATGTTGACATTTCTAGCAAAATGTATGTACTTTATATTGATAACTAATTAAAACAATAAGTTTATTTTAATAAATGCTTGAGAAAGAATTCACATAATTTTTTGTTTTTGATATAATTATAATTCAATAAAGACTTATTGCTATTTAGTAAGAAGTTAAAAGCCTTGATTACAGAAAAATTAATTGCAATCAATAAAAGCATTAACGCAACTGATAAAAGTAATAAATATATTAAAATTTAAACTCATAATAGAGACAAAAATTAAAATTAAAATTTTATTTAGAAATAAAAGATTAATATATATTTTTTAAATTGTAAGAGTATTTAATAATATAGGAGTATAATAGTTAAAGTAAATAAGCGATAGTTTAAACAAATTATATACATATATATATTTTAAAATTTAATTAATTATGATTAAATATGGAATCTTACCGATACTTTATCTCCATTGGCACATACAGTATTGTTTATTTCCGTTTTTATTTCAACATTGGTACATGGATGAAAGTATGCAGTCAACTTATTTGTAGTGTCTTGGAATGGTCTGAAAATATGTTGATCAATTAAATAATATTTCATAATATAATTATCGTTTAATAAATATTAATTTAATAAAAATCTAATAAAAATTATACTGTAATCTATACTGAACCTTAATTGTAAAAAGATGTTTATATTATATAGCCATATTTTATATAAAATAATTGATATTCTTAAAAAAATTAACATTATTTAATCAGTTTTATTAAAAAAAAAAAAAAAAAAAAAACAAAGAGAGTAACGAACATTTTATTTATAGAAACAAAGAATTCGAAGAAGAAATATAGGGACAAAAACAAAGAGGTTAATCGTTAGAAATATACCAACTCTTCGTCGGCGAGGCCTGTCAAATCGTAATAGTGGCCGTCCGGCAGCGAACAGATACAAGGACCCAGTTGCGTGCATTCCGACGATGTAGTGTCGCAAAATAATGTTAGAAATAACGCAAGTACGATAAACGTCGTATTACGACTATACATCTTTACCGCACCTTTGTTTTGTCACGTCCGCTCCATACTGATGCGCTATCGCTCCTCACGCGATGTATACCTTTCGTCCGATATACAATAATAGCAATGTGAATTTCCAACTACGACGACATTTTCGTCCGTGATAAAACCAACTCTTCCATTGGATGTCGTACATACGTCTATCGCGAAACAGAATGTAGAATATTTCTTTTCAGAGAATATATATCAGTCGTACAGATATTTCAATCGGCTCTAAAATAGAAAAATCTTTCTCTCTGCTTATTACGAATCTTCATCACGACATTTTGAAAAGACGATAATTTTGGCGGGCGAACGTTGGTGCCGCGCCGCGGCGGTTGCGCGAAGCTTTAGTTCCGGGCGCTGGCGGCGCGGCGCGCCGCGCGCATTCGGCGCACTTCGTTCTGCGCTAGCGCAGAAGGCGGTTATATCGTCGCCGCCGCCGCCGTCGCTGTCGCGCCGCAAAGGATGCGATGACTGTCAACGCGGAAATCGGCAACCTTGTATCGCCATATTGTTTGCGCGCACGTTGTCGGTGTACCAGTGCTGATAATATCGCGATACGGCGAGTGTCGTCGGGTGGACTAAAGGAGGTGTTGACGAAAGGTAAATAGCGACGAGTGTCGCGACTGGAGCCGACCTAATAAGAGCGGCATCGCATTTAGGAGGAGAGTTTCAACGCGTTATTACGTGCGCGTACCCACACGCGAGGGTACGAGTAAACCGCGATAGGAATTTCAAAGGCGAATCGCTCGCGTTTCTCACTTTTCTCTTTCTCCCTCTCTCTTTCTCTAAAGTTAGTCGCGGTCGCGGGTTAGAAGCTGCAAGTGGCCAACTTCATTCTCGTCGACCCGATATACCGTTGCGCCCGTCGTCGGAATTCGGAGCATACGTTCCCGGTGACGTCATCGTCGGGATGGCCCGATGAGCTAGTTTCGCGTCCGCGTGATTCCGCGAATCTCTCGCACTTTTCGCCCGATATTTTTTCCTCCCCCCTCCCTCCCTCCCTCTTCTGAAGAAATCGTTAACATGAGCGAAACGAGGGAAGTGATTGCCAAGTGTCACGGTCACGGGTGGTGAGTTTCGATAATCGACAGAGGGACGGAGACAGAGACAGACGAGTCTTTCCGTATATTATTTCGACCGCGCGTGCCCATTCCTGGTACTTGATCGTCGTGTTTCTCCTCGCCGTGAGTATTTCCATCGACCTTTTTTCCTCCCCCACCTCCCCCTTTCTCTCCCCCATCCTCTCTCTTTCTCTTTCTCTTACTGGTTGACTTTTGCCGCATAAGCGTCTCGCGCTTTGGCAGGTCGTCATCTACGACAAGACGATTCTTACGATATGTATTTTTTTCTAACGCGTCGTATTATCACATTTCTGTTTTAACGAGATGAGAGAAACGAGAGCGACACGACTTTACCCGAGGCCAACGTGAATTTGGTTTGCATCTCTAAAAAGGTTTTATTCATAAGTTATAAAAATTAGGTTATTCACAGCCGTCGACGTATTCTATTAAAAAAGATTCGTGCAACTCCTCCTTTCTCGCGAATGCCGTCCGAAACGAGAGGAATCAATGTATAATAAAGATGTTGTGTGATCTTGATTCGTCGATTTTACAAAAAAATTAATAAATCAATTAAAGAGTATACGTCGAAAAAAGGTTGCAAATTTGAATAATTATAAAAATCTTGAAATTGCAACTAGTATACCAACGCAATGCGTCGTGAATTAAAATCCAGTTTGGTTTATTCATGTCGGAGCACAACATCCGCGATCATGAATAATCTCGTGCTTTTCATCGTATCATTCATTTTTCATATTCCGTTTAATACATCTTGAAGCATCTGATTTACTCCGAGATGAGAACGAACGATTTCTCTCGTTACGGAGCAAAAGTATTGTATATGACTAATCTTTTGAAATATATATACACAAACTTATAATTACATGCATACTATATTATATATAATAATAAAATGAAGATTTATACACTGAAAAAAAATTGATAACTTGACCTTTAATATGTTATTTCATTTAAATATTTTTAAATATTCAGTTCACGAAATAATATTTAGTCGAAAAGTTTAGTCAAGTTAATCAATTTTTGTTCAGTGTACAAATAGAAAAATTTAGGTAGGACATGGCTAATAAATATTATTAGCCTATTTACCTGAATTTTTGTATTTATCTTTCCAAGAGATCGCGCTCGAAAAGATTTAAAAAGAAGATAGATACATGTACGTTTGCAAAAATATTGCCGCATCTCATCTAGGCGTGTCGATTTCAATTGTGACTTACACATCCTAGTTAAATTAGAAAATTTTTGAGCTATTTTTGTGACTTGATCGACCTGAGTTTGAATCGATGCATCGGCTACACGTGTCCTGTAAAAAAAGAAAAAAAGAGAGAAAAGAAAAAAAATGTTCTCACGCTTGTGCAACATATGTGGGCGAGAATATTTTACTATTATTTTCCATTCACATTCCGCCTTTGGCGGAAGATATAGGATATCGATCAGAATCCGCTTCTCCATAGCATATTCGATGAAACCTTAAGGTCGCCTGTATACATATACGTATCGATATATCTATCAATCCTGTACAGGCAAATCGGTCATCCTTAGTGCACGCACGCACAAAAGTTCGCTCTCTCACGAATAATTCCCTTCTCTTTTACAGAAACATTGAATCTTTTGACAATTCGTCTCTTAACTTGAGATGATCCTTGAAGAAGCGTGACGTACATTAATTACGAATGCTGCTTTGTGCTACTTTTTTAACCTTACGGTTAAATGCCGGTTAAATAAACGAACGCGACCAGAGACTAAATTGCTGGCAAATTAATTATAACGACACGTCGAGCAAAGGAACCCGCGCGTTTTACCAAGTTATTATGTCAGTTTAGAATTTTTTTTTCTTTTGTATATACATCAATTAATCGAATCGTATAATTTGTCTCCGCAGGATGACACGTAGAATTGATTCGCGCAATCGCTTATTAATTAATACATTAATGCTGTCGATTATACCTATTACGTTAAATGAGATGAAGATAATTTACATACACACCGGAAAAAAACGCATTTATCTGATTAATCCAATATTAATAAAATGAGATGCGTTATATGAACGTGAATCGTTGCTTGTCCAGGGACATTATCTCGATTCTATAATTATTATCGCAAGTAGTTCAAAGGAAAGTGTTTGCTTCGTGATCGAAAAATATAAATAAACCTTTGCTCGTTTACCTCTCCGTTAAAACTCTGGGTTATTAAAAAGACATTGAAAAATACGCAAGTCGCATGCATTGTCGCAAAAACAAGAAAGATTTCAAAGTTGAATAAAGCTATGGAATCTAATTAATAATCGCATCATTTATGTAACAGCGCCAGGCGCGTATTCTAACGCGTTAACATACTAGGTATATATATATCGTAACATTGATTACATCATTTTTATTCGATTATCCCTTATACGGTTATGTAATGGTATATATGTATATATATATATTATCGATTTGCTGGAAGCACACTTGTATACCGTCCAGTGTGCAGCAAAGTAATTTGCCGCAAGAGTTACGGTCGCGGAACAAGAGTATATACTATATTACATTAGATACATATTATATACATAGTCTGTTCTAGATTTACATAAACATAAATCTGTCGTTTCTTCCGCGACGAGTTGGATTTCGAGCGCGCTCCTTTCATTCGCTTATTCCGACTTGATTTACACGAGTGCTCGATGTGAATTTTATTCGTTATCTCCGACTAATGATATTATATTTTTATCGTATATAGGTATAATTAATTGAAAAATCTCGTCTCTATATAGTTGTTGAAACCGTAAGAATTTTTATTTAATCTCTTTCGTCGTGTGTATTAACTGAGATATTTCTGTAACACACTTTTTTCGCGCGATATCAAAAAGTCAACAAGATATCTAGAGAAGATATCGCAAATGAGATTATTCTCTTACTCTACGATTATTACATCATTTTACATATCTCTCGCAAATCTCGTTTACGCGATTTATCAAGAACGTTTTTGATTTTTCGCACGTTTTTTTTTTTTTTTTTTTTTAATCGAGTGCAAAATCCGTGCCACTCGAGCGAAGTGAGAGAGTTTACGCGCCCGCGTCATATAGCTTTGTAACAAAATCCGAAACGACACGGTTTATATTGGATTCCGGCCTTCTACTACGCATCGGATTCTGGTGGAAAGTGGGACGACTGCCAAATCACTCCGGGAAAAATTCTCACAGCGTCAAATCCGCGATCTATCGACGCCGTCGACCGCTTTTCCATTTTCTTCCAACGTTTCCTCACCGTTATAACCATTATTTATAGATACGGTAAATATAACGAGAGTAATATTCCATTATTATCTCTTTGCAATTTTTTCCTTCGCAACGCCATATTATTATTCGACGATCAGCTTTAGGTGAACCATTCCTTGTTATATTAGTGATCCTTGGATATTTGATACAAAGTTTGAATGAAATTTGTCGTATTGCGGCAAGATAAAATAAATAATATATATAATTAGATGCAATATTAAATTTCTGACACACGTGCTCGTTGAGCAACGAAAGCGTTTTCAAGACGAGAGACACGATGTACTTGTGTTATCAGTTGTCTCGAAGCATTGAAATCCCTGAAATGAAACGCGAAACGCTGTGTGTGTTTGAAAATGCGAATAGAGTCGTGATATTTGGTTAATGAAATCTTACCCTTTATTTTTTAGAGTTCGCGAGTGAGAATAGTGTGCAGTAAAATGAATTTCAGGCACTCGACGGAGCAGCTCGAGGAGAAGATCGGCGAGTCGCGACACGCAATGTCGTATCATCGCGGCGGGCAGACGGGCGCCGTAGCGGTGTCGTACAGCACGAGTCCAATGCCGCATTCGCCGAATCGGAGATACTCGAGCGGCGCCGGTGGCGGTAGCACCACCACATCCGGTATTGGGAGCACCACGTCCAAGTTCAATACCTACCGCTCCGCCGGCACCTCCTCGCTCCTCGACCGACCCACCACCAGCTTCTACACGCCGTCCTCGGCGGGCCTGCACTCCAACTACATCACCTCCGAGTACAGACGCTCCTATTGCGCCCCGGGAAGGTTGGTACTTCTCGCCAACGCGTGTCTTTGCGAAAGCCTGTACGAGATCGCGACGATCATCTTTCATGTGTGTGAGAGAGAGAGAGAGAGAGAGATTTTCTCTTGGAATTTATCCTGGAAATCATGCTAATCGTGGGACAATACAGTATTTTCTCTAATTAATATTTACCGCGATAAAAAATATTAATATGTACATATAGTAAATGATTTTCAAAGTGAATTCCAGGAGAAAATTCTCTCTGTGCATATAGAGGAAAATTTTCTCTCATAATTCCGCTAAATCTTTTTTTAAAAAACTGAATATTTCGATGTTAATTTCAAATTAACTTTGCCAGGAAAGAAGAAAATTGAACAGATTCTTTTCATGGACAGACTCTTATGTACTTTTGGTGCTAAATTGGGAAAAAATACATTTCATTTAGTCACGCAGATGTAGAATATCGATCGCACAAGTTATGAACATAGAGAATGTAGACTCGGTTCGATGGATGATAATTCTCCGCCAAGTCGAGGAGCTTGCAATTACGCTAAACGATGCTTTTCTTTTTCACTCTACATAAAATTCAGCGATTAAAGTCTTTAATAAAGTATGCAGGAAATAAAAAATTGTCCTCGACCAATGCGAATCTATAGTTGAATTAAAAGTAATATACATATCTACTGTGTCAAACTATGTTAGGCAGCAGAAATGTACGATATCTATACAGTAGACTATTGGCAAAAGTATCGCTAAAACCAATATAGCGAGTCTACGTGTCGCAATAACAGGTCCCGCGAAATGTTAAATTAGAATGTGAAAAAATGTGTTGACATAATTGATCGGCTCTGCAGCTTCTATTCGTCGGCTTCGATCAGCACGACCATCCGCAGGAAGTATTCGTCGGACTACAGTCGGTCCAACTGCTCACCCGCAAGGTGAGCAATTTCCGAAATAGGCTTTAAAGAGGTTGACGAAATGCGAAACATTTCTCTCACGATGCAGATGAAATCGACATGTCTATATTTAACAGCCAACACTAATAATACTAATCAATATCCAAGCTTATATATCTTCAGAATTTAAAAAAGAGAGAGATATAATTTGTCAAAAAATGTCTACATGATAAATTTATCTTTTAATAACATGTAATTATATTTTTTAACGGAGCGATAGATATAAATAGTTATCAGTGTCTAAAGTACAAGTCTCGTACAAATCTAGCTACTTGTTTTTATTCGCGTTACTATAATTCAATTACCAAAGACGATGCGATATATTCCCATTCGTATACGTGATCTAGGTAACATTAATACGACAGTAAAGGTCTAGGTCAACCGTAAATGGGTCGCACGCGCTAAGTTCGCTACCTGTTATTCCGAATCGGAAAACTTTATTCCCTTTAAGAAACAAAATGTATCCGCTATAAAGCATCATTCACGGCTTTTATCGTGGAAGCGCGTACTCATATTTATCGATTTTAAATAATAAGCACACTCGTGTTATGGAATGTAATTGTGGACCTTGACCTTACAAGATTGTATGCAACGTGTGTGTATGTGTTTGCTTTTTAAAAGACTGATTTTTCCGGACTGTAACGATTGGGTTACTCTCTGACATTTCATCCTAGATTCTTTCGGACAGCAGCGCAATTTCTCGAGAGATATATTTAAATATCTAATACGCAAAAAAGAAACAGACGTATTCTGAAAGAGCGCAAGAGAGAGAGAGAGCGCGCGCGTCTGTCGCGCTTTTTGTATATCGCGAGTCTGATTTAGCAACCTCGATACCGTCAAAGGAGTAGTTCCGCTTGAAATGTTCATATCTCTTGTGTACGCGTGTTAGTCTGTCCTGCAAAGAATACGTTTGCTATGTACACGCGCGCATCGCATAACGCAATCGCGGAGAGCGTAGGAGAGCAGCCCTTGGCCGCAGGCCCAGTCCGACGAGAAACATCGCATGACCGCAATATTCTTATATATTCTTATATACATCTTGGATGAATTTGCAGGTCAGTCTCGTCGTCGTCATACGGCGAAGCGGGTGGCGGCGCTGCGACAACCACCGTTAACGGCACCAGCAGCGGCAGATACGTCTCCTCAACGTCAACCGCCTCCGTTAACTCATCGTCCTCGAGAGAACGCGGCAGCAACGTCGATGCGGCGGCCGATATTATCAGCAGGTACTCGCCAGCCACTTACGTACCGAATATTCAACGTCAGCAGCAAGGAAGTAGCAGCAGCAGCAGCAGCGCGCATCACTGGAGGCATCGTTCGACATCGTCGTCTCTGAACGAGTTGTTTGGCGGCGACGAGCGTGAAGCAGAGCGCAGAGATCTACGTCCGGAGTCTTCGCTCTCCTCGTCATCTTCTTCCTCGTCCGCCGCCGCCACCGGCGCGGTCGGTCTATGGTCGAAATCCAACAAGAGAAGACCGATACCTACAAACGGCGCCACGTCTCTTGCCGAGGTAACAGTCTTATCGAGGATCATCGACGATGATTACGACGATCACATTACGCGTAAATTGAACGACGACGATAACGACGACGACGACGACGACGACGACGATACCAAAGACATTAACGACGATCAGCATAATAACAACGGCAACATCAGTGACAACGGGCAAGACAGCAACGACGAGGATATCGCGTGCGGATACGGCGTTAACAACAACGACAACGACGACAACGACGAGGACGAGGACAACGACGACGCTAACAACGACGACGATAATCTCAACAATCACCACTTTCATCAACAGCGCCGCCACCGATCCGACGAGGTTTCGCCTGCTAAGCATAATCTTCTTTCTCCTGCTGCCGCCGCCGCCGCCGCTGTCGCTGGTGGTAGTGGTAGTGGTTTGATTAGTGATGTTAGTAGCCTTGACCTGTTAACTAACCACGCGACTAATACTCGTAACGAACTGCTGATCAATAACAACGCTCAGAACAAGGTGACAGGAGGGAAGGAAGAAGAAGGCGAGATCGCGACGAGTAACAAGGTAACGCGCGGTGCCGACAATGTCCCGTCGATCGTCACGTTTCTGCAGAATAATTGCATCAACGAGCGAGACATTTCCGAAGATGGCGAGGAAGAAAGGAACGACAGCTCGGACGGTTTCGGCGGAACGCCGCCGATAGACAGCGTAGCTGGTAGACCATCGGTTACTCATGGCGACGATCCATCGGTTCCTTCGACGTCGAGGAGAACGGATCAGTCTGGTCTCTTCTCCAATACTGCCCACTTGACATCGTCACCGACAAATCCATCTACGGCACATCAGAGTATTTATCGCGGTGTCAACGAGCAATACGTGAGTGCGTTTGTAAACGATACCCGATGCGCGGCATAAATTATATTGCGCGCGCGCGCACACACACACACACACACACACACACACACACACAATATATGTATATTGTTTGATACGTATTTATTTTTTCGTATGTATTCTTTTTACATTAATTTCCGCGATTTCCATCGGATTTAAATATATTTCCACACATGTTAAAAGAGGAGAATTACGCCGCTACACACACGCGATTCGCTTACTTCCCGCCCATCTCTGTTACGAAATCTCTTTGCCCTCTCGCCGTCTTTCCAACTAAAGTCTCTTCGAAGTTAGTCGCGGGCGTCGCTGCGTTTTATTAATAGCTTAGAGCTCTTTCTCTCTTCTTCTCGAACTCTTTGGGAAATAGAGGCTCAGCTTCGTACAGTATTTCGCGATAATCTACGATAGACTTCTCTTTCCAAAGTTTGCACGCTTCTTCACGCAGAGAATATATTGGTACAATAATCGCGATCGTAAAATGAAATGAAAAAAGTGAAACGATCATCATCACGTTTCTAGTTCATAAACTGTTTATATTATAATTGTTCCTATCAATAGAGTTTACGCAAATTGTCCATTGCATTTCAAACGATAAATAGAATCGACATTCCAAGTTTCCATTGTGTTCTAATAATAAAATCGTTTGTGAAAAATGTAATTATTTTCATTCCGCGAAAATGATATAAGATACGATGGTCGTTAAAGTGGTCGTTAAGTTTATAATTAACATACGTTGACAAGCATGACGGAAATGAGTCATTTAGTTTGTTTGGACGCGCGCGCGCGAGTCTTTGCTTGCAACTCGAAGAAAAAATATTTTGATCGTATAATTGTGAGATACAGAGTTTCTTCGAAGTATTATTATGATTATTTCGAAATTGCACGTTCAATCGTATAAACTGGCTGATATCCAAGTGATAGGATGGGCGTTGTGGTGTCTCTGGACAGCGATAAGCCTCGTGTCCGTTTATGCCTTTTTCCTCGGTATCGTGACACCTTTGAGATCCTACAAACGTATTTCAACGAGAATTAATTCGACACGCGTCGATAATTTGGTGATAATTCCACCACGCTTCGTTTCTCATACTGTTCAATCTTCTTCGTTTGTTTTACATTCGCAGGTGAGTATATTCGAGGAGTTGTCACAATTTTTTTACAAACTGAATCGATCGCTTTTATCTTTTTATCTTTGTATAAACTGAACAGAGACACATTTTATGACGTTTTTCTGTCCTATTTATGTATTTTAAAAAACACTGCAATATCCATATGTCTGTGTGTCTAACAAAATGTTACAAGTCTAATTCGTGCGTTTATATATGTTTGTGTAACGTGAGTTTATTTGCTATCCTGCTTAAGCCTTCTCTTATCAAATAATATTTCACTGATTAAAACCAATGAAGGTATAGACAAAAACGTGACAATACTTTTTCTCCAGACGATATTTACAATGATATGTCTAGACTATAATCTTTAATTAACAATTATCGTAAGGTAAATTATTCGTGTGAATAACAGTAATTTAATAATTTCCAGGAAGGAAATCCAACTAATAGATCGGCACGTAATCGTCTGCAAGCTTCACGCGATGAACGATGTGGTCTAAACGGCTTACGGAATATTGGAAATACAGTGAGTATATCTGTCAGGAAATATATACATGGTTTCTCTCTAACTAGTAGACTGCTACATATGTATTTTTAATGCATCCCATTGTTTTAGTGTTTCATGAACAGTGTGATCCAATGCTTGAGCAACACGAGACCTCTGCTGGAGTATTTGCTGAACGAACAATATTTGGCCGACATAAATACTACTACGTCCAGCATGAAAGGCGCTCTAATCAAAGCGTTCAGCCAAGTGATCCACGAATTGTGGGAGGTGGGCGGTGATCACGTCGTCAATACGACCGCGCTCAAGTCTCAGATACAGAGATTCGCGCCACGTTTCATGGGCTACAGTCAACAGGACGCCCAAGAGTTTCTCAGATACTTGTTGGAAGGTTTGCATGAAGATGTCAACAGAGTTACCACAAAGCTACCACCTATACATGGAGATATACCTGATAGTTATACGTAAGTGTAGACATTTAAACACGTTTGTCAAGCATGCTTGATTTAAGAAAAAAACATTCAACACACATTAATATTATTATTTTATGTAGGGATATGCAAAAAGCGGTGGAGAGTTGGAAACGTTATCTTCGCAGCGAAGATAGTATGATAGTCGATGTTTTTGTCGGGCAATTACGTTCATCGTTACATTGCACCTCCTGTGATCATGTATCGGTCACGCTGGATCCGTTTTGGGATTTAAGTTTACCGATACCAGGCAGAAGCGGAACAGTAAAGCTGAGTCAATGCTTGGAGCACTTTACTCGAGAGGAGGTGTTGGACGGCGACGAAAAGCCAACCTGTTCCAAATGTCAAATGAGAAGAAAGTGTACCAAGAGCTTCAGCATACAGAAATTTCCAAAAATTTTGGTAATTCGTATCCTTTTTTGAAATCGATGCAACGTATATAGTCACTTTTTACACTTATATAATTAATGCTATTAATAATATAAGCAAAGGAGAAAAATGCGATCCAGTTTCTCGTTATCGGTGATCATAGATGGGCGGTAAAAAAAAAAGTTTTATTATATATTTTTCTTAACATTCTATCCGCCAGATTTGAAACGTTTCTCTCCAATGGAACGTTTCCGCGGGAAGCTGAACGTGATGGTGGACTTTCCGTTGACGGGTTTAGATCTCAGTGCCTTTGCTGCCCCGAGAGTTCCGGGCTGTACGTATAATCTGTACGGGGTCGCGAATCACTCGGGTACGACATACTCTGGTCATTATACCGCGTACTGTAAGCATCCGTACTCGGGAGAATGGCACGAGTATAACGACAGCCGAGTGTCCGTTGTGTCTGCACGATCAGTCGTTTCCAGTGAAGCCTATGTACTATTTTACGAACAACAGCCTCATAGTTCTCATTTGTAACCTTACGCCATGCTTAGAGAGTAAACACAACCACCTTGCCTCTCTCGATACCTCAACTCAGCCTAGTAAAAACTCTGTCTTCTGACATATTGAAAAGCGACTAAACACTGAAACGGAGGGCTCCACCCTCCTGGATAGCAAAGTTCATTGTGACCTTGTTGGCGATAATCGTATCTCTTCCTGAAATATGTTTCTGGACGTAACGTACGTACAATGTCCCTTTATAATGAGATTACACGATCGATATAATTAATGATTATTATAATTATATACACTTGATACATACAATGCTTGACATGGGAAATTACTCCCGCATATCGAGTTTAATCTCTGTGAAATTATTTATTTCTTTTTTTTCTTTTATGTAAAAAGGTGTGTTTTACGAGATAATTTACCTTACAATTATTGTGAAATAGAATTATATATTTGTATTTGTTTGTTACCTTAATTAGATGCAAAACTATAAAATACTCAATTTGGAAGAGAACAAAGAGGTATGATGATGAAAGTCGCCAAAAATTGTACACACATACACATAGTGCTTCAGATGTCTAGTTACTTTTGAATAGACAATATCTATAACAATACATCTCCCACTCTTCATTAAACACATTGTGGCGACATATTTACTTTTGTAAAATATTTTGTTTAATATAACCACAAGTTACACAAAAGTTATTTATTATAATTTATGGGAAAAGAGAAAATAAAATAATATATTCGATATAATTGACAAACATATATATATATAATATTATACATATATTGCATATGCTAATAAAAATGATAGATTATAAGGGAAAAAATATATTAAAGAGAGATAATATTTTTTGTATATATAATATGTAAACTTGTGAAAAACGCGCCAATTTAACAAAATTTCTGTTGATTTGCAAACTTATTAGATAATAAAATGTATACGCATATGTGGCGCGTATATACGCGCGCGTTTTTGCAAATCGATCAATTCGCAAAAGTGTGTTCGTGCTTTCTCCTCTAGATGGCGGCGATATCCCTTTAGCAGCGCGATAAAGACACGACTTGCAAAATTTTCGTCGTTTATCCAGTTTATTTAGATGAAATATTCTTTGAATACTCTTGGAAAAAAAAATATATATACATATATTGTACGGTTGCAAATGAAGTAAAATAAATATTTGTGGGTGACAAAATGACGATGCGCACGCGTGCAATATGCAACGCATACACAGACATAGAGTATAAAGTGCATCGCAACGCAAACGGAGTCGACTATAGTCGACGTCCTATCGCCGCCACTAGCGCCCCCCACCACTAGTAGCGCACCCCACCGCCGACAGTACCAGCACCGCTGGTGCTGTACCAGTCTCTTCGCCGCCGCCGCCACCGTCGCAGCTAGCCGCCGTACGTCGTGTCGCGTAGAGTAAGGTCGTCTCGCCGGCCGCCACCAGAGGGTCACGACCACCCGCGAAAAGTCTCGTGTGCGTCTCGCCGTTTGCTTTTCCGCGCGACACACGGTGCTACGTCGTGCTCGAGTCTCGGGAGTGACCCGTGAATTTGCAGAAATTCCGCTCGAAGACGGTCCTTTTTTTTCCCCGGATTGCATCGCGTTCTCTCGCTCGTCCTCTCTCTCTCTCTCTCTCTCTCGCTCGCGCTCGACGTCTCCGTTTAACCCGTTCCGCGATCTCGTCTATCGTTGTTCTTCGCACTATATACACTCGGTGCTCTCTCGCTGTCGCCAAGTGCTCGTAATGGGCCGTAAATCGTCGCGGCCTGTCATCTTCGGAGCGATTATTCGTGTCGAGCGCGCGAATCGGTTATAGTGATCCGGTTTTTAGTGGTGGTTCGGTCGTTTCGCGATACGTTCCTGGCGGTCCGCGCGAAGGAACGAGAGAAAGCCTCGTCGGGTGTGTGTGAGGGCAGTGATCTCTCGTCGGAGAGCGGCGACCTGACGACAGTACGAACCGGCCGACGACGAGAGATATAGGATATATGTATGTACATGTATATATACGACGTATATATGACATGGCATCGACGTCGCTCTTTCCCTGCGCCTCTCCGAGCGCCTGACTTCACGTCGCTCATCGCTGACAACAGACGGATGCACTCGGGATTCGGATGTTGTGTCTCGAGTCTCGTTCGACGGCTCCCGCAGTCGACGAGCGAATGCAAGGTAAAGGAACATTTTCAGAGCAAACTTCAATCGGAGCCGTAGCGTCGAGAGAGACGGATATCGCTTGTATCTTGTATCGCGGTGCACTTTGCGTCGTTGGGAGGCATTTTTTTCATTTTCATTTTATATATGATACACGTCATTTAAAATTCTACGTTTCTAAGGCGACTGATCTCTCTCTCTCTCTCTCTCTCGGCTCTTTATAGATTCTGTCAAATTTAAAGACTCAGTTTCCTTGATTCAATTAACCTCTTTGGCGCGCAATCTTTTTCTCATTTTCATTTGTATTACTACCGATTAATTTAAATTTACTTCTCCCCAATTGTCTACAATTGATGAATATATATTTTGCGCGCGAATAAACCGGCTACGTGATAATATACATGTATTCTTATTTGGAATACAAGAAGATGGAATTTGTGGACCATCTTTTCAAATATCTTAATGATCTTTCGAAAATGAAAAAAGTATCGCTAATTAAATTATACTTTGAGTCTGGAGCTGTCGCTCTAGCTGCGCAGATTATTCGCGTCGCTTTTAATTACGTTTATATATATATATATATATATATATATATTTATTTAGTTAGACTTGTAAGATTAAAGACAATGTCCTGGATTTAACTAACGAGACCGTGAATCACAGAACATGAGTCAATTTTGTTATCGTTGCGCGCTGACTTTGCTTCAACTTTTCCGTTTTAACAATGACAAGCAATTTATAATCGTGGCGATTTCAATTTAATTTTTAATAACTCCAGTCGTACATCATAGTAATTTTCCATATCTCATCGATAATAAGTTGCACCTCGACACTAGTTCACACCAGTGTAGCAATAAAGAACAAACTCAATAATATTTCGTTAGCTAGTCCATTTTATAATCTCTGTAAAACACAAGTGTTTTCACGCATATAGGGTGTGTATAAATTTCTATAAAATTATTCTATCGATGATATTAAAAAGGCTGTACAAATTTCGAAGCTTTACTCTTTGTAGAGTCCCACACTTTTGACTCGATTTAAATTCCACCGAGAAGCCGTTAATTTCTCCTTCGTTCTTCTCTCTCGTGCGATCCTGTTTTATTCTTCTATATTTTCATTAAAGTATTAAATCAGTGTAACGCCACCATTTTGCCGTTTAGCTTTTCGTTTTGGGCGGAGCCGTTGACCGCAACTGAGAAACTTTTCCAGCGTTTAATGGGCCCCTGAAAGTCTTACCTGAAAGAGAGAGAGAGAGAAAGTCCACCGACATCGTTTATCAAATGCAACCAAGCCAAGTCTTCTTTTTCGCGGGACTTAAAGTTTAGGCTGCACATTCGCGCCTTTATATAATAACGTTCGAATTATATACGACGCGGACATATCTAGAACCAGTCGGCCCTTTCCCTTTGAAAGTTTTTCATCGCGGGCACGCCGGGTCCTTTTCATTGGTCGGCACTCGAACGAGAATTTTTCCGACACGACTGTTTGGCCCTGCCCCCTTCGTTTAGCGTTTCCTTTTCGAATGGCGGCTCGATGCACCGTAACGTTTCCACCAACGTGCATGCAACAAGCATTTTTATTTCATCCCGGAGCTTTATCAGCCGGCCAATTTTTTTTTTCTTACGCGTATTTTCGATTTAAATTATATTATAAAAGTTTGAAATTGAAGAACATAACGCGGTTATCCCTTTTGCGACAAATTCTCTCTCAATAACTTGAAAAGCATCAACTTTAAATTGGTCGGCCGTCGCTCGAAGAAAACAAATCTTCGAGGGATGTACGATTAATTATAATGTTTTTTATATCGTTGGAGGGGGGAGATGACATTTCCCGTTATTTGGCGCAATCCATTCTTCGTCTATGGACTGTCTAGCCGAGGACGAGACAGGCGGAGGGAAACTCTATTCCCGGACGTGTATATACATACATACACAGGATGCTACACACACACACACACGCGCGCACACACACCGTACGTGCATGCAACGGCCGATCGCGCAGGTGTGCGCGATTCTTTTCTTCATATACGTTGCATATAAACCGTTCGAGTTTACGAAAGAGTCGCGTTCTTCCACTTAAAGCACGTTCCCATGGAACGTGAGCGAACGCACTTTACAGTTTTCCTTGTACCAAAGTTTTAATGCACAAATTTGACAAAAATTGTCGAGCAAGCTCCGCAGTCGTAATTATTGGAAGAAAGCTTCGTCTTCAAAGACTCGAAAACGCTTTCGCTTATTTCTTAATAAACAAATGAAAAGCGGGTTTTATTCGATCGCGGCAGGAAAGGACTCGTATATGTGTATACGTGCGCGATGCGCGCGCATATATGCACCGGAGGCTATTTCTTAATGTCTGCGCCTTGTCTACGTAACGCGTGTCTCACTTTGTATTTTTTGCCTTACGCACTTACGACAGGAACACGCATTATCGCGATAACCGTGAAACGATCGTCGTCGTATTTGTCGAATCGATATCGAACAATTAGGCAGACTTGTATATAGTTTATCGTCAGGCTCGCCGATTGCGATAAAGAATGCGAGAATGGGAAAAAAGGATTCGAATCTAAATACGCGTCGTGCCTTCTCTTTCCGATCGTCAACTTGCGCGCGCACATGTATGCGCGGCCGAGAGAGAGAGAGAGGAAACAAGAGTCCCTTGCGTCCGCGGGGCTTCGGTGTCAACAGGTTTTATTTTTGCCCCGCGAAAAGGCCAAGGTCCATCCTCGGGTTCTCCCAATCTCGCAACTTCCCGGAACCCCTCCGACGACGAGGTCGTCGTCGTCGACGATGAACCCCCGAGCGACCATTCGTCGTCGCCATTTGTCACACATCGTTGATATAATATTTCCTAGATCGACGAACGAGCATTGAAAAGAGAAGACAACAGTTTAGCGTACCTAACAGCACACACGTCCTCTGAATATTCGTGGATTATGTCGTGCTATTAGGGAAAGCTCAAGTGTATACTATATGTAATTTTTCGGTAAATGGAGAGCGCGCTGCGGTGAGACTCGCCGGACGCGACGCGCGATAAATTCTCAAGGAGGAAAGGAAGAGAAGAGGAGTAGCCGATGGATGCAGCAGCAGCAGCGACGTCGGCGACGTGCAGGAGGAGGAAGCTTGCGGGGGTGGGAGGGGGAGGCGAGAGTGCAGCGGCCTGGCCGTCTATATTCCGCGTGACTATAGGCAGTCCGGCTAGAGGCTAGAGTCCGCCGCGTATAATGTATTCTCGAATATCGTGCACTCTCTCGTGATCGATATAAGCCCCGACGCGAGCCGGAGACGCACGAAGAGACCCACCGTCTCCTCCTCGTTCCTCCACGGAGCAGCCGCCCGCTCTCCTCGAGCCGCTGTTTTTTCGCGCGGCGCGGAGTGCATCGCAACGCGCGAGAACTGCAGCTCTCTCTCTCTCGCGCGCGCGCGCGCGATTATCCGTGACAATGAAAGTCGGGAGGGGAAAGGGCGCTCGAATAATGAATGATCGTTAAAAATTCTTTTTCGATTCCGATCGATATTGTTCGATATCGAATAAAACGAT